CAAAACCTGTGGCTGGGAATTTTCTCCCTGTCCCCACAGCTCAGCCTCGGGATCTCTGGGAAAAGCAAAGCTGGGCCCATGCAGGAAGAGGGAGTGCCTCTGGAAGTGGAAGACGGAAAACAGCAACTGCACAACAGCTGGAACATCCCCTCATCCCTGATCCAGGACCTCGCCCTTCCCACTGCTGGACAAACCACCAGGACACAGTTCCTGACGCTGCCAAGCCGGGATCATCCCTGTGCCTCCGTGGAGGGGACCTGACAGCTCCAAACCGACTTTGGTCCCTTGTCTTTTGGGGCTTGGAATCTCCTCCAAACAAACTGTCACCTACAGAAAGGAGCTGAACAGGCACCAAGGTGATTTTGGAGAGGCCCAGAAAAACCTCTGTTGCCTTGTACAAGAGGGTTATAAATTGTTAATATGCTATTATATATTATAAACTGTTACAAATCGTATAACTAAACCATTATAAACTATTTCAAACCACAATAATAAATAAACAAAATATATAATAAATCAATCAATCAATCATTCTAAACCATTCTAAACTATTTTAAACCACAATGATAAATAAATAAATAAATAAATAAATAATTCTAAACCATTCTAAACTATTTTAAACCACAATGATAAATAAATAAATAATAAATAAATAAATAAATAATAATAAATAAATAATTCTAAACCATTCTAAACCATAGATTATAAATCACTATAATCACGATGAAAGATTATAGATCTCTTATAAACTTCAGACAAATGATGAAGTTTAAAAAAAAAGGCAGATTAAAGGACAAAGCACCTGCTCAGAAATCCAACTGTGGACACCCCAGTGGGAGCCACCTGAAGCAGCTGAGCTTAGTTAAGCTCAGCTTAGCCAGTCTTAGGCCTCGGTCATATCAGGGAGCAGCTGAGAAGAGGTTTAGGGGCAGGCTCAGCTCTGCCCCCGTGTCCCCAAGGCCCAGAAGCCCCAGGATTTCTCCCTGTGGTGGCTCCAGGGAAATGTCCCTTCCCCTGCCCAGCCCAGGGGTGACATTCCCCATTCCCAGGTTTATAGGAACGTCTCTGCCCAGGCAAGGAAAGGCTTTGCTTCCCTCGGGACCACAGGGGGGGAGCAGAGCAATTAAAAGGAGAGTTATTTTCATCCCCTGGCTGAAAACAGCCCTGCACCTGCAGCTGCTGAGAGCAGGGGCCTCGTTTTTCCACTCCCTGCCACCCAATGTGTAGTTATATTTATTTTTAGATTTCATATTTTTAATTTTTCTTTACATTTTAATTTTATTTTTATTTTATTTTTGTTTGTTTTTAGTTTTTATTTTATTTTATCCTTTTACTTTTTATTTTTATTTTACAGTTATTTTTACATTCACAGTCGTGGTTTTATATTTTCTAGCTATATTTTTACATTTATTTTTATATTTTTAAATTATACTTTACCATTTGTCTTTATATTTGTATGCTATAGTTATATTTTTAAATTTGTTTTTATATTTTTAATTATATTTTTACCTTTATTTTTATATTTTATAGTTATATTTTTACATTTGTTTTTATATTTTTATATTTTATAGTTATATTTTTATATTTAATAATTATATTTTTATATTTTAAAGTTATAGTTTTACATTTGTTTTTATATTTTTATATTTTATAATTATATTTTTATATTTTATAGTTATAGTTTTACATTTATTTTTCTATTTTTCTATTTTATAATTATATTTTTACATTTACTTTTATATTTTTATACTTTATAGTTCTATTTTTACCTTTTTTCTATTTTTGTATTTTACAATTATATTTTACCTTTATTTTTATATTTTACAGTTCTATTTTTACATTTATTT